GAGCCATGGCCGCTGAGCCTGCGCGTCCGGAGCCTGTGCTCCGCAGCGGGAGAGGCCACAACAGTGAGAGGCCCGCGTACCGCAAAAACAAAACAAAACAAAACAGAAAAGAGTAAGGCAAAAGCTGAATAGGAGAACATGTAAATAGCACAATAGAGATGAAACAGCAAACTCCAGACTGCGAGTAACTCTGCAGGACAAATGTTTGGTTTCTTCAGCAAAAGAATTATAAGGAAAAGGAGCTTGGAGGCTCAGCCTATAGACAAAAACAGAATTAAGAGACAAAACAACCAGTTGCAGGATATGACCTTATTTGTATGCTGATTCACAACAAACTGCAAAAATGTTTTCTAAGACAATGTGTGAAATATTGGGGAAAAAATAAACAAATGGTTGGATATTTGTTGATAATTAAATTAATTTTCACATTTTAAAAGGTGGGATAATATTACGATTGTGTTAAAAGAAAGTCCTTTTGGAGATAGTTTCTGAAATATTGACAAATGAAATGTACAGTATCCAGGACTTACTTCAGAGTAATCCAGGGGGGAGGATATAGATGAAACAAGTTGAATTTTTTGCTTAAAAATTGTGTTAAAGTAGAGAATAGAGATACTGGCAGGATTGATTTTTTTTTCCCCCCAGGAAATTCATTTTAGGAGGCCAAATATTTCTAAGCATGTGCTCAATGATTTTTTTTTTTTTTTTTGCGGTATGTGGGCCTCTCACTGTTGTGGCCTCTCCCACCGCGGAACACAGGCTCCGGACACGCAGGGCTCACAGGCCCAGCCGCTCCGCGGCATGCGGGATCCTCCCGGACCGGGGCACGAACCCGAGTCCCCCGCATCAGCAGGCGGACTCCCAACCACTGCGCCACCAGGGAAGCCCTCAATGATTTTTTAATGCTAGTCTCTGGGGATAAAGCTATGAATAAGAGAGAAAAGAGCTCATGCTCTCAGGAAGCTGACATGCTAGAACCTAGAGGGATTAGGCAGGAGACAATAAGCAAGTGAAGTAAATAAATCTGAAAATATTAACTGGTGAGATGTACAATGATGAAAACAAGACAGTGTGATGGGACAGTGCCCGTCAGTAGGCTCATCCAGGAAGATTTGCTGAGGATGTGCAGCTCAGCCCGAGCGTGGAAGATGCTCCGTAAATGAGATCTTGAATGTCGAGAAGGAGCCAGTCATGGGACGGTCTGGGGAAGATTCGGGCAGGGGACCAGCCAATGCAAAGGGTCTGAAGCTGGCTTGCTTGAGGGACAGGAAGAGGCTGGCATGACTGGAGTGTCATGAACAAGTTGATGCTGGTGGGCTGTGAACCACCAGTCTTAACAGGGGCAGCATCAGGGGTTCCCAAAACCACCAAGATGGGCTACTTTAACTGTCAAGAGATGGCTTTCACTGTCCTGTGTTCAGTTTGGGAAGAACACCCTGGTCTTGTATGTCTTTTTAGTTACGCTTTCAGTATCACTTGCCAGGGTGGTAACTTTGGGGGGAAGTCCCCCAAGAGATAGTGCTTCAAGTACCCAAATTTTAATTCAAATTAGGTGGAAGGGCACTTGTTACAGACACTTGTATTTGTTGCTCTCTCCTTTTCAGTGCCGTTTTTGTGACAAGGCCTTTATGAACCAAGCTTTTCTACAAAGTCATATTCAGCGCCGCCACCCTGAAGATTCTCATCTTGGTAAGTCGTGAGCGCGACTTCAAAGATCTCTTTTCTTTCTGGTGCCTTTTTATTTTTTCAGTGAGACATGGTCCAAAGCATCTCTCAATCCTTTTAAAAGAAAGCATCATAGTCCTTGTTCACTCATTTAGTTAGTATTGATCCCCTACTGTGTGCCATGCGCTGCCTTAGGGGTCGGGGATACCGCCATAAGCAAGACAGACCCTGTCTGGCTCTCTTACACCCTAACGGGAGGGATGGAGGATTCACATTTAAACAAATGAATGAGTGATTCTTTTCAAATGGTGGCAAGTGCAATGAAGAACGTAAAGTAGGAGAATGGGATGGAGAGTGACTCCTAGTGACTCCTCATTAAGGAGGCGCTATTTGATCAGAAACCAGAATGATGCTGGGGTCCCAGCCTGCGGGAAGTTTGGGAAATGTATGTCCCGGGCAAGGGGAGCTCGCACTGTGAGGGTGTGTGAGGAAGAGGCAGGACACGGCGTGTTTGGGGAAGAGATAGAAGGTTGGTGGAGCAGGGTGAACAAGGCAGTGGTGGGTTAGGAAGGGACTAGGTCACATAGGGCCTTGAACGCCCTGGGTGGGCATGTGGGTGATTTAATAAGCGTAATGGGAAGCCACTGGAGGATTTTAAGTTGCGGGGACATGATCTGATCTGTACCTTAAAATGACCCCTCTAGCTGCAGTTGGGGAACAGACTGTAGGGGCAGAGGTGGAGGCAGCTGGGAAGGTGAGGACGCTGCATGATGGCCCAGGTGAGAGAAGGTGGCAGCTGGACCAGGATGGTACCAGGGAAGGTGGGAGAAGTGGAGATGGAGGAGGTTTATTCTGGACGCAGAGGCCACAGAGATGTGACTCAACATGAGAGCAAGAGATGAAGCAAAGATGACCCTGGGCTTTTGTCCTATACATTTGGGTGAATGGCTGTCACGTTTCCTGAGGGACAGACCAGGAGTGGAGCAGATAGATTGAGGGAGGAAGGAGAATGGAGAATTTGTGTTGGCTGCGGGTACAATTAAGTCACACGTACAGTTGCCATGCAAGTGGAGATGCTGAAGGTCTGGAGGTCAAAGTGAAGGCCCAGGCTGGAGATAAAACCTGGGAGTCGTTAGCAGAACTGGGCTGGATGAGATCACTTAGAGAAGAGAAGACGGCTAGGGCCAGCCCCACACTAGGAGTTCAGGAGGAGCCCCTGAGGGAGTGAGAAATCACAGTGATGGAGGCAGGAGGGAGAGCTGGGAAGTGTGTTGTCATGGAAACCAAGGGGCATGAGTGTTTCAAGAAGGAGACAGTTACACCGAATGACCTTGAGGCACAGAGGAAGAGGAAGACCTAGAATTGACCATTATTGTCACAGTGACTGTTGGTGACCTTGACATGTAACATAATTCAGTGAATTATTGGGGATGAAAGCTGGATTGGAGTGAGCTGGGAATCAGGCAAGGAAGTGGTCATGTCCATTACCGACATTTATTTCAGTAACGTTTGCTGGGAAGGAAAGCTGGGACAGGAGGCAGTGCCTGGAGGGAAACATGAGACCAAGGGAAAATTTTTGTCTTGTTTGAGGTGGGAGATACTAAGATGTGTTTGGGTGCCAGTGTGAATTAACCAGTGTATCGAGGGGGAAACTGAAGAAGCAGGAGATGGGAGGCTTACCATGGAACCAGGTTTCCTACTAATTTAAATGTTCTCAGGAGCAAAGAATGCAAAGGTCTGTTTCTCCACGAGCAGATCAAAGCATTCTGCTGATTGCCACAGTAACCCACAGAAGTTCTCATTACAATCTTAAATGTTCTCGGTATCTAGACATGTGTACTTCTAGCTTGTTACTCAGTGCCTGCTTTCCCCTCCCTTTTGGGCCAGTTTGTTTCCATTCCTGCCTATTTCAGATAAATAGATTTATTCAGGAAACAGCTAAACTTTGCATAAACAATATGAACAGCATAAAATTCCACTTATAAGCCATGGACCGCTGATACAATTTAGCAGTGTATTGGAGAAATTGGGAAGATTTAAGTATTTTAATTAACCTACCATTCTTCAGTGTGAAACTGACCTTCTTTCTCTTCTGTTTCAGTATCTTATTCTATCTCATACTCGTTTCAGAGAGTATTTCAGACTCTGAAATGAGTATTATTTCTTCAGGTCATCTTTGAGATTCTGACTTTCTACCTTGGTTTCCATACCTTTCATGTCTACACTCACAGACACATGTATATCCATTCAGTCATGTGTACATCTGCATGTAAGTACATGTACATAAGTATTCTTCCCTTCACTTGTTGCTCCCTTTAACGACTTTTCAGTAGTTCGTTTTTGCCCCATGGATGGGTTATGGCCCAAGTTTGCATTTTGAATGCCAGCCTCTGCTTATCTTAGCACAGTTGAGGTTCTCAGGAGAGTTCGGTGGGAGCCAGAAGGATGGTGACCATAGAGATTTCAGTACTGTGGTACCTGCCGTGGAAGCTATTGCTTCCCTTCTCTGACTGAGACAGGCATCTTAAAGAAGAGCCCAGGATTATTCCTTGTACCGTTTTTGCTCCCTGAATGGGCTCTCACCCTATCTATGTAGGATAATCCAACCTCAATCTAGTGGCTGAAAGAATCTGCTAAAAGTAATTCAGCGCTCAATAATATGAAGGACTGAAAATAAATATTGAATAGTAGAGAGTAAAAGTTGGCTCATGCGGCATGAAAAAAGTAATATCCCAAAGAAAAGCAGTTTCCTTTGTCTTTGTCATATCAATAGGATGTACCCCAAAAGTTTTCAGATCGGTTTTCTAAGAGATGGTATTTTAACGAGGTATTTCTGTTGCAGCAGAGTATAAGACAAGGGCACAGACTGACAAGCTCCAGAATGAGATCGACATGTTGAAGGAGCAGCTGCAGCTCACCAGGTCTCAGCTAGAGGCTGCACAGCATGCCCATGCAGTCAGATTCTCTAAGGTATGCTAAATTCAGAAACAGTTATATGTTGGGAAGGATTGGGGTTAATTCCTTTTAAATGTTTGGTAGAATTCACTAGTGAAACCATCTGGTCCTGAGCTTTTCTTTTTGGGGAGTTTTTTGATTACTGATTCAACCTCCTTACTCATTATTCATCTGTTCAGATTTTCTCTTTCTTCACGATTCAATCTTGGTAGGTTGTATGTCTCTAGGAATTTATTTCTTCTAGATTGTCCAATTTGTTGGCATGCAATTGTTCATAGTAGGCTATCATGATCCTTTGTAATTCTGTAGTATCAGTTGTAATGTCTCCTCTTTCATTTATAATTTTATTTATGAGTCCTCTTTCTTTTCTTTGTTAGTCTAGCTAAAGGTTTGTCAATTTTGTTTATCTTTTCAAAAAATCAACTCCTAGTTTTTTTAATCTTTTCTATTGTCTTCTTATCCTGTATTTCATTTATTTCTGCTCTAACCTTTATCATTTCCTTCCTTCTGCTAACTTGGGACTTAGTTTGTTCTTTTTTTCTGGTTCTTTGAGGTATAATGTTAGGTTGCTTATTTGAGATCTTTCTTTTTTCTTCATGTAGGCGTTTATAGCTATAAACTTTCCTTTTAGAGCTGCTTTTAATGCATCCCATAAGTTTCGGTATGGTGTGTTTCCATTTTATTTGTCTCAAGATGTTTTTGATTCCCCTTTTGATTTTTCCTTTGATCCATTAGCCGTTCAGGAGCGTGTGTTTAATTTCCAGTTATTTGTGAATTTCAATTTTTCCTTCTGTTACTGTTTTCTAGTTTCATAACATTGTGGTCAGAAAAAATACTTGATATAAAGTCAGTCTTCCTGAATTTGTTAATACTTGTTTTATGACCTAATATATGATCTATCCTGGAGAATATTCTGTATGTACTTGAGATGGATGTGTATTCTGCTGTTATTGGGTAGGATGTTCTGCATATCTCTTTTAGGTCCATTTCGTCTATAGTATTGTTCAACTCCTGTGTTTCCTTATTGATTTTCTGTCTGGATGACCCATTGGTGAGAGTGGGGTATTAAAGTCCCCCTACTATTATTGTATTGTTGTTTATTTCTCCTTCTCATTCTGTTGGTATTTGCTTTATATATTTTAGGTGCTCCAATGCTTCATGCATATATATTTACAATTGTTATAGTTTCTTGATAAATTGACCTCTTTATCATTATGTAATGACCTTTTTTTATCACTTGAGAACTTCCTTTTTTTTTTTTTTTTGGCGGTACACGGGCCTCTCACTGTTGTGGCTTCTCCCGTTGCGGAGCACAGGCTGCAGACGCGCAGGCTCAGCGGCCATGGCTCACGGGCCTAGCCGCTCCACGGCATGTGGGATCTTCCCGGATTGGGGCATGAACCCATGTCCCCTGCATCAGCAGGCGGACTCTCAACCACTGCGCCACCAGGGAAGCCCCTTCCTTTTTTAATGTAGGTGTTTGCAGTTATAAATTTCCCTCTGAGCACTGATTTGTCTGCTTCCCTTTTCTGGTACGTTGTGCTTTAATTTTCATTCATCCTAAAGTATTTTTGAATTTCCCTAGTGAGGTTTTCTTTGACCCGTTGGCCATTTAAGAGTATATTGTTTAATTTTCATACATTTGTGAATTTTCCAGTTTTCCTTTTGTTAGTGATTTGTGGCCTCATTCTGTTGTGGTTGGAGGAGATACTTTGCATGATATCAACCTTTTAAAATTGAACATCATTTTAAGGCCTAACATATAGTCTATCCTGGTGAATCTTCCATGTGCATTTAATAAGAATGTATATTCTGCTCTTGTTGGGTGCAGTGTTCTGTATGTTTCTTAGGTGGAGTTTATTTGTAGTGTAGTTCAGGTCCCCAATTAGGTGAAAAACAAAAAACAACACAGCAGCAGGTCATCCAGAAATCAAAGGCTGATCGGACCAGACCTTGAATTTAGCTTATATAAAAATGTATTTGTGTTCATTAAGGGTGAGTGGGGCCACGCTACCCAAATTGGTATGGTATCAAGAAAGGTTCTTCTCAATAGACTTTTAAAGTATGTTTACATTTTACATATGATTGCATGCCTACTCTGCAAGTTCACAGATCATAGAACTTTTGAGACTTCGGGCCTCTGTGTTTGTGCTTTAAGGAATTTAAGGACAAAAGGATGCTGTGTGCTGCCTTTGGTTTAGAAAAATCATTGTGCACAGACCTGCCATTATATGCAGTGTTTTTGCAACCAAAACAAACAGAAGAAGCCTAACTGAAGTTTGCAAGTCTAGCTGACCCACTTGAGGTGAAGCTGTGTCCGTTTATTTACATTTCTGCATACTTGCTTCATACCAGAGCTTTTAAAGCCATGTATTAAATCAATTTCAGGAATATGAAATGCAGAAAACAAAAGAGGAAGAATTTCTGAAGTTATTTGATAGATGGAAAGAAGAAGAAAAGGAGAAGCTAGCTGATGAAATGGAAAAAGTCAAGGAAATGTTTATGAAGGAGTTTAAAGAACTAACTTCTAAGAATTCAGCGTTAGAATATGTAAGTATTGGGAGTTCCCTGGTGGTTCAGTGGTTAGGACTCTGAGCTTCCAGTGCTGGGGGCACAGGTTTGATCACTGGTTGGGGAACTAAGATCCCACAAGCCACGTGGCTCCACCCGAAAATACCCACAAAAAACGTTGAAAATATCTAAGTATTAAACCTCAGAGTCTTCATAGCAATGTTAGACTTGTGGCCTTGAGAGGTGGCATTAGAGTGGCAATGTGGCCCACGGATCCAGAAGTTCCTTAGTTGTGCCGTGTCCCAGACACCACTCCTGCCTGAGAGTCTTGGGAGCTCGGGGCATACGGAAGAGACAGCAAGTCAGAAGAGTCGTTTCCTTGAGAGTGGGAGCTTTGACCCCAAACCTCAGTGCAGAACACTTGGTACATTTTAGATGGATCAGAAAAGAAGGTCCCTCTTTCTTAGCTGGTTAGGTTTAGATAGCCCAAAACAATAACTCCCTCCCTGAGTTTTAGAGCTTTCCAAAGTTCCAAAGGCACTTTCCAGAAAGACTGACAGAGATTGCCAATGTGGGAGAAGGAAGCTGACCCAGAAAGACAGAGGGAGAGCCTTTGCCAGGCCCCTTCCTCAGCCCAGGCCTAGCAGGTTTGAGTGAGCTGGATGTCGCTAAATGCAACCTGCACTTCCCGGTGGGAGCAGCCGTGGTCACAGGGAAGCAAAGGAGGCAAGGGAAGAGTCTGGAGCTCCCTCTAGGGGCCAACATGTTTATAAACTAAAATAGATGGATAGTTTTGGAATGCTGCTAAGATCCTTCTCTAAAACGTCCTGAACCCTCTCACAGGGATGGGCAAACTATGACCTGTGACCTAGACCTGACAAACCACCTGATTTTGTATGGCTCTCAAGCTAAGAGAGCTTTTTACACTTTTAAGTGGTTGAAAAAAGTCAAAAGAAGAAATATTTCACGACACGTGAAAATTATATGAAGTTTACCTTTCAGTGTCCACAAGTGAAGGTTTTTTGGAACACAGCCATACTCTTTCCTCCACACTTTGTCTATGGAGCTTTTGTGCTGGAGCCATGGAGTTGAGTGGTTATGACCAAGATCTTACGTGTCTCCCAAAGTCAAATACTATCTGGCTCTTTACAGAAAAAGTTTGCCAGCCGCTGTCATATCTTTACAAAGCAAATGTGGCATGAGGTTAACAACTGGTGAAGGGGAAATAGGAGTTCATTATATTGTTCTTTCAACTTTTTCATAAGTTGTAATTTGCAAATAAAAAGTTGAGGGGAAATTAACTTGGGACGGCTCGTTGTGTCTTTTCTATAGGGCTTTCTTCAGTCAACTCCCTGTTGGTTCAACTATCCCCTATCACCTCGCTTGGTTCTAAGCATCAGAACCTGTGGGCAGTAGTAATTCTTTTACCACCCCTACTCCAGGGGCTTCTCCTGAACTCAGACCCTTGGCATCTTCTCAAAGTGGGATGTCGTATTACCCACAGTAGTGGATTCTGATAGTAACCAATTTAGGACTGGCTTTTTATGTCTTCTCCATCAAGGCCACACTCATTTTTTTTTTTCCTTGTGATAAAGCTGCCAGTATGGCTCTTTTGCCTGAGATTTCCTCCATGGTTATCCCTGCCCCCAGGATCATTGTGGGGTTGGACTTTTCCCTACCTAGGACTTTTTTACCATTCATATAGATATATATTTTTTAATAAATACATTTATTTATTTATCTCTAGTTGCAGCAAGCAGGGGCTACTCTTCGTTGTGGTGCTCGGGCTTCTCACTGTGGTGGCTTCTCTTGTTGCGGAGCACAGGCTTTAGGCATGGGGGCTTCAGTAGTTGTGGCCCGCAGGCTCTAGAGCGCAGGCTCAGTAGTTGTGGCGCACAGGCTTAGTTGCTCTGCGACATGTGGGATCTTCCCGGACCAGGGCTCGAACCCGTGTCCCCTGCATTGGCAGGCAGATTCTTAACCACTGCACCACTAGGGAAGCCCCATATATTTTCTTCAAATGGCTTTTTTGAGATGTTTACATATCATACAATTCACCCACTTAAACTGTACAGTTCAGTGGTTTTTACTATGTTCACAGAGTTATGCACCCATCATCACAGTCATTTTAGAACATCTCATCACGCAAAGAAGAAGCCTTGTACCCATTGGCACTCCCTCCCACCCTTGGCAACCACAGATCTACTTTCTGTCTCTATGCATCTGCCTGTTCTGGACATTTCGTATAAATTAAATCATATAAAATGTGATCTTTTGTGAGTGGCTTCTTTTCACTTAGTATAATGTTTTCAAGATTCATCCACATTGTAGTATGTATCAATATATTTTTTTAATTGCCGAATGATATTTCATTGTATGGATACACCATATTTTATTGATCCATTATTCGATGGATATTTGGGTTGTTTGCCCATTTTGGCTATAGAGCGTTTTAAAAATTATTATTAATAATAGACTTTATTTTTTAGAATAGTTTTAGGTTTACTGAGCAAATAGTACAGAAAGTTCCTTATAAATACCCCTCTCCTACCCTGTACACAGTTTTCCACATTACTAATGTCTTAAATTAGTGTCATACATTTGTTACAATTAATGAGCCAATACTTGTACATTAGTATTAACTAAAGTCCATAGTTCATTCAGATTTCTTTTGCTTTTACCTAACATCCTTTTTCTGCCCTAGGGTCCTATCCAGGATACCTAAGTACATTTAGTTGTCTTGTTTCTCTAGGCTCAGACTTGTTTTTGATGACCTTGACAGTCTTAAGGTGTACTTTTCAGGTATATTGTAGGATGCCCCTCTGTTGGAATTTACCTGATATTCTTCTCTTGGTTAGACAGGGTTTATGGGTTTTGGGAAGGAAGTCCTCAGAGATAAAGTACAATTTTCACCGCGTCATTTCAAGGGTACATACCACCTACATGGTTTATGACTGTTGATGTTGACCTTGATCACCTGGCTGAGGTAGTATTTGTCAGGTTTCTCCCCACCCCACTGCCCCCCATTCCATACTGTGCTCTTTGGAAGGAAGTCACCTTGTACAGCCCAGACTTAAGCAGTAGGGGACAGTGCTACCCCATCCTTTTGTTTTTGAAGTTAACATATTACCTTCTGAGGGTATTTACTGCCAGTAACTTTGGGAATAAGCTACAAGCAAAGGGTAAAATTAAAACCTTATGTCCCTTGTGGTCCCTGGAAGATGCTGGCCTCCTCACTAAATCATCCTGAGAATCAGCTGCACCCAGTTCCTCTTTCTGGCACTGTTGCCTGCCCATTAAAGTTTTAAAGATCGATTATCTGAGATTAGAAAGTTTAGGTTTTCCTTTCCCTTTCTCTCCCAGTGCACGTTCTTTTGTTGGAGGTAATGAAACGGGAAAACCACTGGGAATGAGAAGCAGCAGAAGCACGGTGAACGTCCAGGAGGATAGTCAGGTGCTCCCCAATTTTGTTCTCTGTGTCAGTCGTATAAAAGTATGAACATCTGTACCAGTGATTCTGAATTTTATTTTATAGCAATTGTCAGAAATCCAGAAGTCCAATATGCAGATCAAGTCTAACATAGGCACATTAAAAGATGCACATGAGTTTAAAGAAGAACGTCCTCAGCATCCCCAGGATTTCCAAAATGTGATGCAACTTCTTGATAGTCAGGTACGTAAAAGTGGGTGACTACTGCAGTAGAGGCCTGATCTTTCTTGGTGAGGTAATTTACAGTAAGCACCATCTACAAAAAAGTGCCTCTTTTCAGTGACGATGAAGGTGACTTATTCTTTTTTCCTTATCTCCTAACACATGTGTAATTCAGAATAGGTGTTCATTAGATACTTACTGATTGACTAATAGATGTGGATACAGAACAGTTGGCAAAGTTGTTTAATTTTTCCTTGAATAATATCTATTTGAATTGGTTCATTTTACCTTAGTAGTTATTTTTCATATTTCAGATGTAGACCCACTTTCAAAAGGCATAGAAAAGCATATTGAAGCCCTGACTTTTTTTTTTTTTTTTTTTTTTTTTGCGGTACGCGGGCCTCTCACTGCTGTGGCCTCTCCCCTTGCAGAGCACAGTCTCCGGACGTGCAGGCCCAGTGGCCATGGCTCACGGGCCCAGCCGCTCTGTGGCATGTGGGACCCTCCCGGACCGGGGCATGAACCCGTATCCCCTGCATCGGCAGGCGGACTCTCAACCACTGCGCCACCAGGGAAGCCCGAAGCCCTGACATTTTAGAGGTTAAATATATGGCTGCATTGGCAAACTGATGGTCTTTTACATTTATCAAATAAATTACAATCATTTGGAAGTGAACCTCAGTAATCAGTACAGCCTTCGTCCTGGCTATTTTGGTCACACTGATTTCGGGGAACTTTTTTTATTTTTTTAGCCAGGAAACATAGAGATTACAGCTTATGAATTCAGGATTTTTTCAAAATGCAATATTATGTCATTTTAAAAGGTAAATGTGTTTTTGAACGTGGACTACTGCCACTGCTTCTTGTCTTGCCTCTCTCCCCTCACTGTAACCTTTCGTGTTATAGCCAGGGTGATCATGTCACCATCCTGTCTAAAATCCTTCAATGGCTCCCCATCTTTCACAGAACAAAGTCTAGGACCCTTAGCCAGCATTCAGAATCCCTGGGCATCTGGTCCTGCCATCTCCCTCCATTCTTGCCTTTACCTTGACTCTCCAGTAGCACCAAAGAGCTCCTGGTTCCCGGGACGAGGCAATCGGAGTTCTGCTTTTGCCTTTTCAGCTTTCTTTGTCATGCGCCTCCCAGTTTTCAGGCCCTGACACTTATTCAGCTGGGATGGCATCTCTTCTAGAGAGTTTTGGAGTTCTGGGTTATTGCACTGCCACAGTCCTCCAAGCTGGACCTGATCACGTGCACATTATGTGGGAACCCTCCATTGTATGTCCACTGTTCTTCCGGGCAGGGCAAGCAGGGCCTGTCTCTTAGTTCTCTCCCAGCCTGCCAGCGGCTGCCCAGCGAGGTGCCTGGTATGCAGTAGGGGACCAGGAATTGGGTCCTGAACTGAACTGTTGGCATTTGCTCCCAGCAGGCTGCTGTCTCACTAGTTGAAGGACTCAGTTATGAAACCCTCAGGTCCCACCTAAATTTCTTTTGTCTCCTTCCTGTGAGCTCTATCAGTTCAGAACCTATGGACCCAGAAACCTTGATGTTTCCTTTTAGCTTCTGAGATTAACAAACTAGCACCTGTTTTTTTAAATTAAGTTTTATTGGAACACAGCCATACTATTATGTACCGTCTATGACTGTTCATTTACATATTACTTATGGCTGTTCTCCTACCTAGTAGTAGTGACTGAGTCATCTGGCCCCCAGAGTCTAATATATTTTCTATTAGCCCCTTAACAGAAAATGTTTGCTGAACCTTGCCTCAGAGTATAAGATTAAAACCAAGTGCAAGTGTGTTTAAACATTTTTGACTGTATTTATTTATTTTTTTAAATGCCTGCTAAAATTTTACCAAATAGATAGTTGGGTTTCATAGGTACTCACTAAAAAGGAAGCTTCCATTTTGAGTAGATGTCATTGTTACAGTTACACTAAATTACCCTTGTTTTACTGATTTTGTAGGAAAGCAAGTGGACAGCTCGAGTTCAGGCTCTTCATCAAGAACACAAGAAAGAGAAGAGCCGGGTAAGATTAAGAAATCAACGACCTATAAAAAGTGGGTCTTTCTGAAAAGAATATTTGCTTTTCTCTATAATAAAGGTAATATTTATCCACTTAAGACATTTGTGGAGAAATATATAACAAAAATTAAAATTACTCATAATTCCAATACCATAGATAACCAGTGTTACTGCTTTGTTATAATTTCTTTCAGTCTTTTTTCTATGCTGTAAATGTTGCGTTTCTATAAGTATAGAAACCCATGCATATAATATGTCTCACAGATTTTGAATTTTGCTTTATATCTATAACTTTATCCATTTTTCATTTAATATATCATAAACAGTTTCCTATGTTTTAAAATATTATTCAAAATCATGATTTTTTTAATGGCTCCATGGTGATCTTATGGCTGTATCATCAGTTATTTAATCATTTCTCTATTGTTGAATACATGTTTCTAATTTTTTAACATTACAGAGTGGAAGTCTAAATAAGTTTGAATACAGGCATACCTTATTTATTGCACTTTGCAGATAACTGCGTTTTTTACAAATTGAAGGTTTGTGGCAACCCTGCATTGTCAGATGATTCATTTTTTAGCAATAAAGTTTTTTTTTTTAATTTTTATTTATTTTATTTTTGGCTGTGTTGGATCTTTGTTGCTGCGTGTGGGCTTTTCTCTGGTTGCGGTGAGCGGGGGCTACTCTCTGTTGCGGTGTGCAGGCTTCTCATTGCGGTGGCTTCTCTTGTTGAGCACCGGCTCTAGGCACATGGGCTTCAGTAGTTGTGGTACACGGGCTCAGTAGTTGTGGCTCGCGGGCTCTAGAGTGTAGGCTCAGTAGTTGTGGTGCGTGGGCTTAGTTGCTCCGTGACATGTGGAGGCTCAAACCCGTGTCCCCTGCATTGGCAGGTGGATTCTTAACTACTGAGCCACCAGGGAAGCCTGCAGTAAAGTATTTTAAATTAAGATATATACATTGTTTATTTTAAGACATAACGCTATTGCACACTTAATAGACCACAGTGTAGTGTAAACATAACTTTTGTATGCACTAGGAAACCAAAAAATTTACGTGATTCGCTTTACTGCTGTGATCTGGAACTGAACACACTATCTCTGAGGCCTGCCTCTAAAAAGAAGGATTGTTCGCATTAAAGTCATTTTAATGAAAACAAAAATGAATTGTAACACCTATTCCTTTTCCACTGAGTACATCAGAAATTTAAGTGTTAAAATGCTTTTTACAGGGCTTCCCTGGTGGTGCACTGGTTGAGAGTCCGCCTGCTGATGCAGGGGACACGAGTTCGTGCCCTGGTCCGGGAAGATCCCACATGCCGCGGAGTGGCTGGCCCCGTGAGCCATGGCCGCTGAGCTTGCGCGTCCGGAGCCTGTGCTCCGCAGCCGGAGAGGCCACAACAGTGAGAGGCCCACGTACCGAAAAAAAAAAAAAAAAAATGCTTTTACAGTAGTGCAAAAAATGTAAAGTAGATTTATTTGAGATTTTAAGACAGGAAAACATCTGTTTATTTTTTCACTTTAAATTGTATGTGTTTTGTAGCTCTTTGTAACCCCTTTTGGGCAAACAACCTAGACTGGGTGGCTTATAAACAACAGAAATTTATTTCTCATAGTTCTGGTGCTCCAGGAATTGGACAGAGAGCTTGTTAAAGGGGAGTCGTGGCTGGGCTGTGTGTAGATATAACGCCCATGTTTCTTTCTCCAGTCTAAGCCACCCTTCTGAGCTCCAGACGAAATAGCCAGCTTTGTACTTGACATCTCCACTGCTTCTTACATGTAACATGTGTAAAGTGAAGCTCTTGGGTTTGTTCCCAGAGGCGTCTTGCTTTTGGCTGATGTCACCCTAGTCCACTCAGATGCACTCCCTCAGCCCCCAGTTCCAGGCTATTGGCAGGTCCTGCCGAGTATCTCATATCCATGTTCTTCTGGACATTTCTGTTGCTTCCATCCTCCACTGAGCTCCCACCATTTCCAAAAGGGCCCAGTAACTGGTTTCCCATTTCCAACCTTTTCCTTTTGTAATCTGCTCTCTGCAGAGCAGCCAAAATAATCTGGCTGTCGGCCACCACTGTGGCCTCATCCTGAACCTCTCTCTGAACCTACTCCTTTTAGCTACGGTGGCTTTCTGGTAATTTGTAGAACATGTGGCCTTTTTCTCCTTTTACACATGGTTTTCGCTGCTTGGGAGGTCCTTCCACTTTTTTTTTTTTTTTTTTAATTTTTTTTTTTTTTATACAGCAGAATCTTATTAGTCATCAATTTTATACACATCAGTGTATACATGTCAATCCCAATCGCCCAATTCATCACACCACCACCCCCACAACCCCCCCGCCGCTTTCCCCCCTTGGTGTCCATACGTTTATTCTCTACATCTGTGTCTCAATTTCTGCCCTGCAAACCAGTTCATCTGGACCATTTTTTCTAGATGCCACATACATGCGTTAATATATGATATTTCTTTTTCTCTTTCTGACTTACTTCAATCTGTATGACAGTCTCTAGGTCCATCCACATCTCTACAAATGACCCAATTTAGTTCCTTTTTATGGCTGAGTAATATTCCTTTGTGTATATGTACCACATCTTCTTTATCTATTCATGTGTCAGTGGACACTTAGGGTGCTTCCATGACCTGGCTATTGTAAATAGTGCTGCAGTGAACATTGGGGTGCATGTGTCTTTTTGAATTATGGTTTTCTCAGGGTATATGCCCAGTAGTGGGATTGCTGGATCATATGGTAATTCTATTTTTAGTTTTTTAAGGAACCTCCATACTGTTTCCACTTGTTCTTTATGTGGCTGTCTCCTTCCCCTCTGATTTGGTTTTCTCTGCTGTGTAGCAAATTACCACAGATTTATTATCTCACAGTTTCCACGGGATAGGAGTCCAGGCACGGCTTGGCTGGGTTGTCTGCTCGGGGTCTCACAAGCTGCATTCAAGGTGTCAGCTGAGCTGTGGTCTCATCTGGGGCTCCGGGGCCCCTCCCAAGCCCGTTCAGATGATTGGCGATGTGCAGTTCCTTACGGTTAGCCGTGGGAGTGAGACCCCCGGCTCCGCAGTTCACAGGCTGGCTGTGACGTCTTCAAGGCCGGTAGGAGAGCATCTCTCCTGCCTTCATTCTCCTCCGTCAGGAGACCTGAAGTCACCCCAAGACCACTCCATCCAGGCAGGTGGTCCCCTCCTGTTATTATCCTCAGCGCTTCACAAGTGTAGCTCTCAACACTGTTTTAAATCGTTTGTTTAGTTGTTTATTGTCTGTCTCTTCAACCAGATCACTAGCCCTGTGAGGGAAGGGCTCTGTTTACTCCTCCGTTGTATTCTCAGCATCCTATAATGTGTCTAAAATGTGGTTGGTGCTTATTAAATATTTGCTGAATGAATGCAGAAGGTCGATAGGTGGCCAACAAGGGGATCACACAGCCTTTTTGTGTGTGGATGGGGAGATGCTGACTGTACAGTTCAGAAGAACAGGGTGGAAAGAGCTGTGTATCGGTGTGACGTGATATTTGAAGCAGGTCCTCTTAACCTCAGGGCCTGCTTGTCTGCCTCGCTGCCTTACTCACCTTTCATGCTTTAGGCACTTAGCCAGGTGAGGAGGGGAACGGCCAGTGACAACTTAGAGGAGTTGCTTTTCTGTAAGAATGTTGAATCTTTCCTTCGAGATGCTCTAAGGCAGTAGTTCCTAAGCAGGGGCATCCTTCAGAATGACCCGAGGCTCTTCCAAAATACAGGTGTCCAGCTCTACCCGCTGAAGGTCTGATTCAGTAGGTAAGTCTGGGACATGCAGAGTTTGGAAACAACAACAGTAAGAACACCAGCAAACCCCCGACGATTGTGCTTTGGATCCATGGTTTGAACCACGGCTCTTACAAATTGAAGTTCTATTTTTATTCTTCAGGGTATTCTTAGAGCATTGGGGTTTAGGGACAGAATTCAGGCTTCCTTATTAATAGGGGGTGATTTTAGTCCTCGTTCCTTTAAGCCTCTTGTGGGAATTTAAGTCGCCTTCTGGCTGGAATACAGTGTACAGTATAAGTTGTAGAGGTTTACACTTGGCCACTGTGGGTGGTGATAGAGAGGAAGACCGACTGCCAGTGGTTTGGAGGAAGGAGAGGCCTGACCTGCTTCTGGGTGAGGCGCCTCACCTCACGTGCTGGGAGCGTGGAGTTTTTGTGCCACCGCCAGGCTGCGCTGCTCCCTTGTCTGTTGGTTTTGCTTGTTCAGACGCTGCTTGCTTCTTCCTTCATTTCTCTTAAACCCTAACAGAGAGGCAGATTCAATAAGGTTTAGTAATCTGTGCCTGAGACCAAACTATTAATTATTCCACATGATTGGTGCCTCCTGTTCCTACAATGCACATATTGTATTTCTCTGTTTAAGGGAAGTTGCGTTTGCCAACTTTTTATTGCTTTACCTAGATTCTTGGCAGTCTTTTTTTGGTTTTGTTTTTAAATAACATTGGTAGGAGTTCAAAGGGAACCACAGATAAATGATGGCATGCCCTTTTCCACCCAACAGAAGACTCTTAGAGCTTGGGAGGTTGTAGAATGGTCACGCAGTGGAAGGAGAGGAGGATGGAGTAATGTGGCTGGTAAAGAAAAAGTGTAAAACTTGAAATGGTAGAAGGTCACAAGAAATGAGCTCCAGGGCCACAAGCCTTTTGAAATAGTTTCTGGCTATCTCTTTCTTAGACTATCACATTTTCTGGTCAATTCTCAATTCCAGTATCAAAATGATGCCATCCCTTAGTTTTTCTTACATACCCTTTCTGCTTGGGCCCTGCAGTGAGTCTCCATATTGCTGATTCTCAGCCTCCACCCAGAGCCCTGTACGTTTTTATTGGCTTTTCCTTCTGTTTTCCAACTCCAGATTTCCCAAACTGATTTTGGGGGTACTCTTCCAGTAGTCTGTAAAAATGTGGGGAAGGTTCCTGACAGTGTCCTCCTGGGGGGAGATTCTTAGCATCCACTGGGATAGGTAGGGTTCTTTTTAGTCCTTACTCAGGAAACCCTTTTAACTTGGTTCAACCTATTGTTTGTCCGGCCTCATGTGAGCACAGAGCACTTCAGAGGGAAGACCCTGCAGCGTATGGATTGAGAGCATTAACTTTTTGTTGTTATTTTATTGTTTTTCTGTTCAATGTAAATGGATTATTTTTAGAGTAATTTGACGTTCACAGCAGCGTTGAGGAGAAAATAACACAGCGTTCCCAAATACCCACTGCCCACCCCGTATGCACAGCCTTCGCCATTATCAACATCCTGCACCAGAGTGGTACATTGGTTACAATTGATGAACCTACACTGACATGTCATTATCCCCCAAAGTCCACAGTTTACATTAGGGTTCCCTCTTAAGTTGTATATTCTATGGATTTTGACAAATGTATAGTGACATGCAGCCATCATTATGGTCTCATAGAGAACACTGACCTAAAAATCCTCTGTGCTCTGCCTGTTCATCCCTCCCTCCTTCCCCTCAACCCCTGATTCTTTTTACTGTCTCCATAATTTTGCCTTTTTCAGAATGTCATATAGTTGGAATCATACAGTATGTAGCCTTCTCAGATTGGCTTCTTTCACTCAACAGTATGCATTTAATGTTCTTCCAAGTCTTTTCATGGTTTGGTAGCACATTTCTTTATAATGTTGAATAACATTCCATTGTTTGTATGGACCACAGCTTATTTATCTCTTCACCTACTGCAGGACACCTTGGTTGCTTCCAGGTTTTGGCAATTATGAATAAAGCTGCTATAAACATCCGTGTGCAGTTTTTGTGTGGACATAGGTTTTTGGCTCCTTTGGGTAAATGCCCAGGAGTACAGTTTGGATCGTTTGGTAAAAGTATGTTTAGTTTTGTAAGAAACTGCCAAACTGCCTTCCACATGGCTGTACCATTCTGCATTCTCACCAGCAATGGATGAGAGTTCTTGCTGCTCTGCATCCTTGTCAGCATTTGATACTGGCAAGCTCTGGATTTTGGCCATTCTGATAGGTACATTTTTGTTACTTTTTGATTTGGTGATTTCTTTCTTTCTCTCTTTTTTTTTTTTGTGGTACGCGGGCCTCTCACTGCTGTGGCCTCTCCCGTTGCGGAGCACAGGCTCCGGACGCGCAGGCTCAGCAGCCATGGCTCACGGGCCCAGCCACTCCGTGGCATGTGGGATCCTCCTGGACCAGGGCACGAACCCGTGTCCCCTGCATCAGCAGGCAGACTCTCAACCACTGCTCCACCAGGGAAGCCGTTTTTTTAAAAAAATTTATTTAAATTTATTTATTTTTGGCTGTGTTGGGTCTTGGTTGCTGCGCGTGGGCTTTCTCTAGTTGCGGTGAGCGGGGGCTACTCTTCAATGTGGTGCCCGGCCTTCTCACTGCGGTGGCTTCTCTTATTGCGGAGCGCGGGCTCTAGGCGCACAGGCTTCAGTAGTTGTGGCTCGCCGGCTCTAGAGCACCAGCTCAGTAGTTTTGGCACACGGGCTTAGTTGCTCCATGGCATGTGGGATCTTCCCGGACCAGGGCTCCAGCCCGTGTCCCCTGCATTGGCAGCTGGATTTTCAACCACTGCACCACCAGGGAAGCCCGCAAGTACAGTTCATTAATACGTTTCATGACATAGACTAAGTTTGAAAGCGTTGACTTTGAAGACAGGAAAGTTCAAGTCTGGGCTCTTCCCGCTCAAGTTGTCTGCGTTTGGGTCAGCTACTTACCTCTCTAGACTTGAGTTTCCCATCTGAACAACGAGGTCAAAACTTGGATCCATGAGGCTGTGGTGTGGATTCAACAAGATGAAATGCTTAACGCAGCCTCTACACGTGTTGAGTGTCTGTTAAAAAAAACCTCGCCAGTTAGGAAATGCTGCTCCAGGCATTCTCTGTGCTTCTCTCAGACACAGTTACCCCCCTTTATTTGACCTGCACATCCCTGTGTCTGTTTCCAGGCCGTAGGCTTGGAATGTCCTTAGTGCCATTTACCAAGGGTATTTTCTCTTCTATTTAAGCAACTTCCGAAGTTGTTTTAAGAATGTTTCCTTAAATTATTGAAAACAAATTCTTCTTGAATTCTTGTCCAGTATTTGATCTTCCCTGAGGTTAAGTCTCAAAAGATGAATCTGTGCATCTTTGGATCTGTTCTCTGCTTCTCTTCCTTCTGTTCCCGCCCTCCCTCCCTTCCCCTCCCCCTCCCCCTCCCTCCCTTCCTCTTTTCCTCTACCCCCAATGCCCTCCACCTCCCATTTCTCAGTAAATATTTATTGAGAACCTGCTAAGAGCCAGAGACCGTGCTAGTTGCTGGGCGTATAAAATAATTCAAGTGGGCTCTCCGGCCCAGGGAGTGCACTTTCCAGCTGGGATGATGCATGTGGATGTGTGAGAACAGTACTGCGTGGGGTTGGAGCTACTCTGAGGGAAAAGGCTTGGTCCTTATCCTTGCTCGTCCGTGTGTGATTTCATGTAACGGCTCAGGTTCCCTCCGCTGTTCACATCATCAGTGTTGGCTTTCTTGGGCCATGAGCTCCCTGGGAACAGAGATGAAGCCCCTTGTATGGCCAGGGCCTTCATACACGGTGATCAGAGAGTTATTCAGTGTGTAGATAACATAGGCCAGCAAGAAGGTACGGCATGTATATACAAACTGCCAAAAGAAGAAATTTACATGCAGTTTGCAGATGAATGCCTTTCTTCATTGTTTTTTCCAGCTCCTGTCACATATAGAGAAACTTCGAACCTCAATGATAGATGATCTAAATGCAAGTAATGTATTCTACAAGAAAAGGATAGAAGAGCTAGGGCAGAGGCTCCAGGAGCAGAAGGAGCTGATCATCACTCAGAGACAACAGGTATTTTGGAGTATATATTGGCACCGTTTTTATGTAAACAGTGCAGTTTATCTAAGAACATGTGTTTTTATTTTAGAGCACTTTTAAGTTGGATAAGATAAAGAAGATAGAATATTTTTTCCCTGTGGTTGTTTGTATAAGTAAATAAAATAATTTTTAAAGGAATTTAAAATACTGTAGAGCAATCAGATTTATTCAGTTAGAATTCAGAATAAATGTGAAGGTAGCTAAAATTTCTTTTGGTAATTACCAAAAGAAACAGCTGAATCCAAATGCTGCTTTTATAAAACGTTTGCCTCCATGTCATTAAAGTCCACATGTCCTGTGTCTTTGGAGGATTTAGTGAAAAGGTTCATTTACTGAGTACAGTATCTGTCCATTATCCAGTATGTCCCTGTCTAGTTCAAACATGGATCACTGAAAGACTGTTCTCCTTTGCAGATTAAAGAGTTTACCAGTAAACCATTAAACAGTGTCAGTGAACCCAGAGGTAAGTGGACCAGGATCCCAGCGCTGGAGGCAAGGCGGGCCTCCCTAACCGTGTGCTGGACTTGAGAAGAATGTTGGGCCGTGATGGTTCATGAGTGCTAAGATGTGCTAAGTGGTGCTAACCACAACCCAAAGAGTTGAAGAATTTTAAATACCTAAACTGTCATAGAATGGTCTCTTATCCTTTTTATCAGAATGTCGTTATGCACATAATACATGCTTAGTAACTGTACCTCTGGATGGATGTGCAATAAGACGCCTTATTTTACTCTGTAAAAGTACAGAGTCTGGGGGCAGACCGGGTTCAACTCCCATCTCTGGCACTATGTAGCTTTGTGAGCCTCTGCCCCGGTTTCCTCAGCTCTAAAGCTGGAATATTAGTAGTAATTACATCATAGGCTTGTTACAAGGATGAAATGGGAGAACCTGTGTAAAGAGCACCTGTTAAACACTCATGAGTGTTGGCTATCGTTATTAATATTAAACTCTTAATTATCCTAAAGTGCTATAGAGCCTTGCTGCATGATTCTGCATTGTGGTAGGCTGGGGTTAAGGGTTTGTTCTAAGTATAGTGGGGGGATATACAACCTACTGATGGTAGCAGTGATAGCCATCCATCTCCATATCATTCAAGAGCTAGTCTAGAAGGGGGGCTGGGAGCCAGAAGTGCAGGGTCTCCCAATACAGCGTAAAGCTTGCCTTTTGCCTGGTTTTCTTCCAAGTGATCCCAGTCTTGGTTACTGTACATCTCAGGTTATTAAGGCATCTTTGTTTACTTGAGGGATGCCAACTGGGGATTGATAGTGGGTGTTATGAGCTGGGTTTCCTCCCTGTTTCTGGGGGCCATGGGAGATACGGGCATCTCTCGGAAATATTGCAGGTTCAGTTCCACAACACTGCAGTTAAGCCAATAATCACAATAAAGTGAGTCACACAAATTTTTTTGGTTTCCCAGTGCATAATAAAAGTTATGTTTATACTATACTATAGTCTATTAAGCATACAATAGCATTATGTCTAAAAAAATACACATACCTTAATTAAAAAATACTGTATTGCTAAAAATGCTAACCATCACCTGACAACGCAGGGTTGCCACAAACCTTCAATTGGTAAAAAATGCAGCATCTTCGAAATACAATAAAGTGCAATAAAATGGGGTATGCCTGTACATTGACCTACACACTTGTTTCCCTCGTTTTGAGATAAAGGTTTGGGAAGGGTGGTGGTTCCCTATAACTTCTCTTGAAATAGTAAGAGTTCAGGTAGTGAGGAATAACTGTATAATTACTTAGACAGCATACACATTTGAAAACTAATTTTAGAAAAAAGTTAGCTTTAAAAGATGTATGTTAAACATCTGTTTTTGGTAAGTCGCTATATGTTGGTAAATTTCATTGTTTTTTGGGGGAGGGAAATATTAAGATATACACTAGCAAAATATAACGTGTGATTAGCGTGTGATTTTTGTTATTAATTTACATTTTTTTGTTATTTCAGGGAATCCTTTAACCTGGCAAACTTTTGAATCTAAGCCAACTACCCCAACTGTACCTAGTAAGTTTCTATAATAGGCTCAGGGTTCTAAAGATATTTTTAAAGTGCTAAACCCACACATAACTTCTACTTACTATTTTTAGAGACATTTCTTTGAACATCAGTGTGTTTGGAGATTATATAATGATCTATTTTGGTTCCCAGATTTGACCTAGCTCTACAACCCAATATTGTAAATATCCGCGTGATTTTGTGGTGATTTGGGTTAGCCATACCTGTTAGCTTACTATTACCTTATTACCTTACCTGTTAACCTTATTCGCCTAATAAAGGAACAACTAAAATTTCTTCGGCATCGCTGCAGTTTGTACTCTTGGATTTCCCAAGGTCATACACTGTGACCACATGACTGTGTGTGGTGGCCATCACATTCGGGCATCACTGAGACCCAGTGCTACAGGGTTTGACGTGATGGTCCCACCAGTCACTCACTTGAAGTCAGCTCAGCACAGCTGTCTTCCGGAGCTGTCAGGATTTGGCCAGAATCCAAAAAGACATAATCTGTACAGTTCAAAATGGACAGATTGTTTTCTTAATAATAAATAGTTGAAATATTTTTGTTTCCATTCAAGAAAGCATGTGTGTACAGGATCTGAATAACGGGGGAGAGGGCCTGCACCGAGGCCGGGCACTGAACAACCATTCATATGGGCCCGGGACTTGTGATGATGAAAGGACGTTGATGAGCATGTTTGGGAATTTGGCACAATTGACTGGAAAGGGCTAATTGTTTTAACTGCTCAGCTGCTTCTTGAGGCCTCTTGATATTGCTTCTGGAAGCTGAAGAGGTTGACAGGTGCTCAGGAGGAGAGGGTAGTTTAAGTGCCAGGAGTAGAGCTGAGGGGAGAACAGAAGCATTTCAGAGAAGTATGGAAATTTAAAAGACACTCAGTTATTGTTTATACTTTAATTATACTTAGCACAATATTGGAACAATAATGTGTTCCAATAAAACTTTATTTACAAAAACAGGTAGGGGCTGGTATGTCCCACAGGCTGTAGTTTACCAAACCTGGATCTAGATTAGCAAGTTGTAAATGGGTTTGAAGGCCATATTTCCAGAATTGTTAGCAGTTTACCCATAGTTAGGAGTTGAACACTTTCACACTAGCCATTGTAAAGATGAAATTGTATGCCTATAGGGTAGCTGAAGTTTGTGGCCAGTATTTTTTAGAATAGGATTAGAATTAAAGATCTATTCTAATAAGCTAGGGAAAGAATCAGTAAACTAATAGATAAATAAATAAATAGTTGAGAGAGGAACCTCAGATAGGAATTGTCAAATATTGGAAGAGGGGCTGTCGAATCTAATTTTCTGAGATATTTTGAAGTACAGGGTGTTCAGTCTTACTTGAATCAGGTAATACTCCTCTCTGAAGGCTATGGCTGAATTAACGCCTTCTCACGGTGTCTTCCAGCCCCGTGATTGGGGTAGTTTTTTTAAATTGGTTTATTGTACATGAATATTCATAGCAGCATTATTCATAATAGCTAAAAAGTGGAAACAACCCAAATGTCCATCAACTAATGAAAAGATAAATAAAACGTTATCTGTCCATACAGTGGAACATGATTTGGCCATAAAAATACATGCTGATGCTACAACATGGATGAACCTTGAAAACATGATGCTAAGTTAAAGAAGCCGATTACAGAGGACCACATATTTAATTGTATGATTCCATTTATATGAAAGGACCAGAATAGGCAAATCCATAGAGACAGAAAGTAGATCAGTGGTTGCCAGGGGCTGGGGGGAGGGAGAGATGGGGCTAATAGATACGGGTATTTTTGGGAGGTGTACATGTGGTGAGAATGTTCAAGAATTAGATAGTGGTTACGGTTGTACAACTCTGTGACTGTATTTTTTTTAATTTAATTGAAGTATAGTTGACTTACAATGTTGTGTTTAATTTCTGCTGTACAGCAAAGGTACTCAGTTATACATAAATATTCTTTTTCATATTCTTTTCCATTATGGATTATCACAGAGTATTGGATATAGTTAGTTCCCTGTGCTATACAGTGCGACCTTGTTGTTTATCCATCCTGTGTATAATAGTTTGCCTCTTTGACTATGTTAAAACCCACTGAATTATATACTTTAAGAGGGTGAATTATATTTCAATAGGCTGTTATTTAGAAATTGGTTTAGGTTAGTCGGTAATATCTTTGTCTTCTGTCCCTCATCGTCTGTATATATCTTGACTAATTTGACGAATATTTGGTTATCATCATGTTCAGGTGCTGACACTATAATTACAGAACGCTGTGAGCTTTTTCTTTTCATGCTTTTTCAGTGAATGCCCCAGCCCCACAGACTTTGGATGCTAAGTCAAGTCTAACAATGGCACATGGTAAGTTTCAGCAACGCCTCAGCGTTTTATGTACAGTTTCCACCCTGAGTTAGTAACTTATTAACTGAAAGTGCTTCTGTGTGGGGTAATTATGCAAACAAAACATTTTGGTGAATGCAAAGCAGTTAATAAAACTGCAGTCTTCCTATGTAATGTTACTGTGAACTGATCATACCCACCAGTCGTAAAGTATAAAATGTATCTATTGCTGGGCTCACAGGTACAGATTTTAACTCTGGGTAGTACTTGGATCATTTATGATATTTGGGGGAAAGTCATAGGTATTGGGTAAGAGGATGACTTTCTACTAGACCAGCCAACCAGCACATGCCACAGGGCATATGTGACTGTTTTTATAACTTTCAATGTGGCAGCAAGTCACCTTTTTTAAACAAACAGTTTCAGTGATTGGTTGGAAAAAAGCTAGAAAAGACATGTGATGGAAACCAAAAGAAAAAAGTAGGAACCACTGGATGAAACTGCTGCCAGGATCCAGTTCTTGGACCAGGCCACAGACTGATAACTGTTATTAACATGATCCAGTAGACAGGGTGAATATTTATAGACATGTTTTATCTTTATACAGCTAAGGTGCTAACAGTTTTTATAGTATCTTTTTAATATATTGTTTTCCTAAGGTCTGCTGTATATTAAATGAATTAGGATGGGAGGGGGACCACCTTTTTCCTGTCTTACCTACAAATGCTTCTGGAATCTAATGATTACTTCATTCCACTTTTCTTTTTAGCCTGTTAGTTAGGACTTAAATCCATGGTCAGTCGAGTTGGACTTTTTTGTCTTCATAAATATTTTGGTCCATATAACATGGCCTTTTGTAATTATCCTTTTTACTCACTGACTGACTCATGAAGTGTTTATTGCCCCTTATTTTTTTCCTAAGATCATTTCAGGTGGATTCGGTTCCCTTTGGCATGTGTTTATAATACGTAATGCATAAATTCTTCACATATTGGATGTTATTATTTACAAGTGTTTAGAACATGCAGGGTTTTTTCCTTTGAACCAGTAACAGAGATAAAATGTATGTTTGACCTATAGAAACTTTCTTTAATATTGAAGATATGAGAAAATTATCTCTGGCAATTATTCTCTATTCATTTTATTTATGTCAGGTCTAAAGTCTCTCTGTTGCCTCCTTTTTTAAGGTTGATTTTTTTCCACTCTTTTTTAGATTCTGTTCCCATATAGGTCCATTACAGAGTATTGAATAGAGTTCCCTGTGCTGTTCAGTAGCAGGGTTGATTTTTATAAGGCATTGCTGGCGACTTCTTTTTTGTACCTCAACACGTGTTTTAGTTTCTTTTGTTTCCCACCTTGTTCTTGTTAGCCTCCTATCTGGCATTACATGAGGGCCATATTTTCTTCGTTTTATATTTTTGGTACCCGATAAAGGACGCATGCAGTAGGCATGTAATGCTCTCTGGGGCTGATTCCAGGGTCCTGACAAATCTGTCAGTCCTAGAGCACCGTGTTCTGTGTGGACCCTGGCCTGAATCAGCCATGCCCCCTTGCTGGCATCTGTTGGGATTGAAATGCTCATTTTAAATGCCGGCCAGACCTGGCACGAGGCCCACAGCCCTTGGATTGGGATCAAAGCTGATTTGTGAGCATCTCAATGGGTAGGGGCAGAGGAGGAGGCTTGGTGGCGGCCCACTGCCTGGCCACCCCCAGCTGGGGGGCAGGGGCACAGTGAGGGTTGGTCACGTATCACACAGCATTAATTAGCCCAACTTCCTCTCTGTCTTTCCTTTTGTTCTATCTCAAAGCTTGATGAGGTCCTTTACCATGAAAAATCTCGTGATTACTCACCGGCTGAGGTTGGGTTCCCTGAGACGCAGACTCTGGGCTGGAGGTTTGCGGGTGCTATCTGGGCAGTGCTCTCAGACAACACCTGTGAGAGAAGCAGGGTTGGGCGTTAAAGGGATGTTGATCCCAGATGCAGCTGCAGCGGAGGCCTCAGCAGGTCTGACCAGGAGCTTTAGAGCTGGGGTGGGCACTTCGGAATTTTCCTGGGTTGAGGCCGTCAGTTATAAGACATGGGTTGCCCCTGGGAGGGGGCACTCTCCTTTCAGCTGAGACAAAGCAAAAAGTAGGAGCAAAAGGTGGCAGGAAAGCACTGGATGTGAGTTATTGGTGCAGACGAATTGTTTGGCTGAGCATAGAGTATGCAAAAGAGATTTGAGGGGCTTCCCTGGTGGCGCAGTGGTTGAGAGTCCGCCTGCCGATGCAGGGGACATGGGTTTGTGCCCCGGTCCGGGAAGATCCCACATGCCGCGGAGCAGCTGGGCCCGTGAGCCACGGCCGCTGAGCCTGCGCGTCCGGAGCCTGTGCTCCGCGACGGGAGAGGCCACAACAGTGAGAGGCCCGCATACCACAAAAAAAAGAGATTTGAGGGACAGGCTGGTTTAGGTTGTTCACGGCAACCACTGAGTGCTGGGCTGAAGCTGTTTGGGTCGTCCTTGTGGCATTTTGTAGCAGCTGAATGTTCTGAGGCTGAGCATGGCAGGATTGGAGAGCTGGGCTACAGGAAGCTTAGCCTGACCGATGCGTTCAAAGAACCTGAGCTGGGAGATCACTTGGGTATGTTAGAAATAGTCTAAGAGATTCCTCACCTAAGAATCGGGTTGTGGTGATGAAACAGAAGGAAGTGGACGTAACAGCTGTTCCATGGGATTGGTGGAAAGGCTGTGCAAGTGATTGGGGGCCAAAGGTGAGAGAAGGCTCAGAACGTGATGAGCTCAGGTACTGGGTGGATGGTGGTGCCATTCAGAAAATTCCAGAAGACAAACCCAGCAGCACCAGTAGGGAAGCACTGGGGCTTCGTGGCCAAGAGTCTGGAGTTTGGAAGCAGACAGTCTGGTTTCACGGTTGACTCATGAAACTGTAGGGGCCGAGGTTTCCTTACCTACCAAATGGGGTGAAGAGTCTTGGCTTCTTCAATGGGCCCCAATACGTGCAGAATGAAGCAAGGCTTTTGGAGCAAAAGCCACTGAGCAAGCACTGGCTAACCGTTAGCTTCTAGGGTAGGGGAGGGGTGATGAGGTCCAACAGAGTCAGCCCGTGGAGAGAGGGCTTGGTGAAAGTCTGTGAGTTTTCCTTCTGGAGGTAATGGTGGGAGACCGACATAAGGGTTTTTCTGGAGGCCTTTGGCAAGTTCGGAGGGGAAACTCAAGCCTCCAAGAGTTTCAGCTCTCACCCTGGAGATCTCAGCTCGGGGCAGGAACTGGAGGCTGGACCTGTGGCTTATAAAGCATGAGAATGGCAGGCCTTCCCTCCCAGTTTGGGACATCAGTCTGCTTTGGGAGCTGGGGTCTGGTCAACCTCACTTCCTCAGCCTTTATTATTATACGAGCCCAGTCTCAGGAATCTGCCCCTCCTCCGCCCGCTGCATCACTGCAGGAAATGTCAGATTTTGACAATTAATCCTGAGTCAAGAGAGATAAGTCATAGGATTATTCTTGTAATATAATGATAATAAAATGCATACGATGATTTTGTAAAATTTTATAAAACTTTTCCTCACAACTTTATTCGTCATTTTCATAAAGTACAATAAAATATAAACCATGTGAATTAAAAAAATGAGATTAGCTTAATCCTCCTAAAACCTGTTTTCAGCAGTTCAAACTAGTAGAATAGTCTGTTTGTATAACTTTATTTTTAAAATTTTTAAATTTTTTATTGAGGTATAGTTGACATATAACATTAATTTCAGGTGTACAGTATAATGATTTGACATTTGTATATGTTGCAAAATGATCACCACAATAAGTCTAGGGCTTCCCTGGTGGCACAGTGGTTGAGAGTCCACCTGCCGATGCAGGGGACGCAGGTTCGTGCCCCGGTCCGGGAAGATCCCACATGCCGCGGAGCGGCTGGGCCCGTGAGCCGTGGCCGCTGAGCCTGCGCGTCCGGAGCCTGTGCTCCGCAACAGGAGAGGCCACAGCAGTGAGAGGCCCATGTTCCGCAAAAAAAATAAAAATAAAAAAATAAGTCTAGTTAACATCCCTCGCCACACATAGGTACACATTTTTTTTCTTTATTTGTATAACTTTAAAATCTTGATGCTGAATAACAAATATGAAAGCACCTTTTTGATGTTCAACAATTGTGTTACATGGATGGAATTACATGCTCCTTTGCGGGGCCATGTTTACATTTCAAAATTAAAGTGGACTCCTATTTACTAATAGGCTGTGTTCCGAAAGTTCATTTGAAAGTAGTTTAGGGCTTCCCTGGTGGTGCAGTGGTTGAGAGTCCGCCTGCCGATGCAGGGGACACGGGTTCGTGCCCCGGTCTGGGAAGATCCCACATGCCGCGGAGCGGCTGGGCCCGTGAGCCATGGCCACTGAGCCTGCGCGTCCGGAGCCTGGGCTCCGCAGCGGGAGAGGCCGCAGCAGTGAGAGGCCCGCACACCGCAAAAAAAAAGAAAGTAGTTTAAAATGCATTTCTCCCATACAGTCAATGTCAGATATGTTGAGTAGATTGCTGAACAAGCTGTAAGAGCCTATTTTTAAACACCTAAATATAGTACATATTTATTTGTATATTCCTATTATATGTATATGTGTGTGTATGTGTATATTTGTATATGCCTAAAATAGAGTATCAGAAACACCCTTTAGTAAATTAAAAGCCAGACCTTCAAAGTAGGAGGTAGTAAATCTGAGGTGATACGTGCAAAGCTCTTAGATCTGTGCCTGGCAGCCCGGTGAGCACTCAGGAATTGTTGCTATCATTAGCCTCCCCACTCACCCACCCTGGGGTCTGGTGGCAGGATGAAATGACCCCTGTTTTGTGGGAGCAGGTGGAGAGCTCTCTGGGCAGGTGCCCCATGTCAGTCTCCAGGCTGAAGATGAGGGGGCCCAGGCACCTCCTAAGTCAGACTTTTGGTTGCATTTCATTCTGTGCCTAATGCCTGGCTGCTGTGGTTAGTTACACCTTCAGCCAAAACCTGGAGAATCAAGAAGGAGCTTTCCCTCTGTTGATTGGATGGGGTTTCCTTTATCTGTGCTGCCTGTGGGTTTCCTTGTGTGGGCACAGTGACATTTCCCTGGGAAGTCACCCAGAGGCCTCATCTCCGCCGGCCACTGTTCTGGGGTGGGATTGGGAAAAGCCCATCTTCATTTCTCATCTCCTCAGCTTCACCCTGGTGACTCTCTGGGAGCAGAACTAGGTCTTGAAACGTGGTTTAGGGACATGAAGGTGTATAAGAATGGGTGTTAGTCCTACTGCTGACCCCAGGATACCTCTCCTTGCCCTTTTACCATTCTGGTCCTTCCACTTAAAGACCCTGGGGCTGGCAAGAAGTGGGAATCCCAAGGCCCTGGGAATTTTTTATGTTTTTACCTTTGGAAATAGAATATTTTCAATAATTTTCTATCTAGCCACCTGGTCAAGATACAAGGAAAATATTTTTAGGGATAAGTGAAGGAGATCTTTTGCAGTTGTGTTCTTGTGCCTTAAAAAAATCATGTCTGGCACTAAGTTGATGAGCAATAAATTTTAACTTTATTATTTAAAATGTAATTTCCTGAGAGTGGAGTTAACAGAAAATACGTAGCAAGGGAAGATACTATGGAAAAGCGACCAGCTTTAACTGGCTGCCTTAATATTTTTTTCCCAGTAAATTCTTGCTATTTTAGGCATGGTTAAAATACTGTGGAATGATATCTTTCAAAATTGTTTGAAAGGAACTAATTTTACTTTGCTGTCGTCCTATTTGTACTATTCTTATTTTTCCTCATTAATAGAACAGGCATTCTCATCGCACATACTGGAACCAATAGAAGAACTTTCAGAGGAAGAAAAAGGTAACAAAGAGGGGTTATATCTGCATCAATCACATTTAGATGCTAAAACCCAAGCCTTGGAAATATGGTTCAGTGGTTTTTATCGTAGTGTACCAAAATTAGGGAAGACATTTAGGTTTGGATTACATTTTCAATCTACATGTAGTATTCTGTCATCCTATTCCCCCAATGTGCTGTTATATTTTTCCCCCGCTTTACTGTTTCTTAACATATGAATAAGAAATTTCCTGTGTCAGTGAACTTGAAAAAAAATTTTAAGCCTTTATGTCAATGCAGAGATTTTTTGATCAGATGACAAGTCGACACAGTTGTGTGCCAGATTATACAAAAATATTCGTATCACAGTAGCTATTTCTCATGCCCTGAATCTATGAAATGAATAGGTGAAGTGCCCATTTCAAAAATTGTTTTTAATAGCAAGGAAGGCATAATGTCTAAGCTCTGAATGTGGAATATTTACATGCAGAATATCTTAATGGCAGAATTTGGGAGCTGTTACAGGTTTGGGGAGATGATTAAAATTATTACTGCCTCCTCTTTTATTTGGTAGTAATAATAAAACTTATTTTCTACCAACTAATCTTTGAAGCTTATGAATATTTACATTATTAAGAATATTTTCTAATGCTAGATTTATCCTAAAACAATTATGTTTGAATCAGTTTATCATAATTTTCTCCTTAGTAATAATAATGCTTTACCATATTTCACTTCTTTAGGAGAAAGCAAATTGTTAATATTTACATGGGCTCTGGTTTTGTCATTTTTGTTAGGAAGAGAAGTAAAATTATATGTTCTAGTATGTAAATTCTTGATATTTGTTATAACTTTTTATGTGTTCTCTAGACATTTCCAGTTTTTTTTGTTTGTTTGTTTGTACAAGGCTACAAATTGAGAAGGGACTACATCAGGCATATCTATAACATCTACATGATGTGTATTTTCATTTTACTTGCATGTAACATGCTTTCTGTCTCCTACATAAGTATCATTTATTGATGTCTGAAACACAAAATCCCTTATTCTCAGAAGAATCTATGAAATGTATCAGGAGGTTCATAGATAGGGTCCAAAATTTTGAAACTGGAATCGCAAGTCATGTAGTTCACACTCATTTAAAAACGAGTCAGCTGGTTTCCAAGAGGAATCCTGATTTGTCCATCGTCTCCATTTCAGTTTCAGGTTTCACCCACTGCATATTCTGCCTGTGTTTCTTTTAGAAGTCTACCTAGACCATGTAAGGCATGAGTTAGGGATCGTTGACAGCAAGCACCATCATCGGCTCTTGCCACATTTAGGGAGCTGAGTTGGGAAAGAAAATAATCTTTGCCACCCTCCACGCATTCAGACACAGCTCTGGTGAGGGATAAGAAAGTGCTGAGGACCGCTGAGAACAGCCAAGTCCCAGCGCACTGTCACAGAAACCAGTGACCGCATCTTTCTGGTGCCTCCGTGGAGCCAGCATGCTGGCAGCAGATTAATTGCCATCAATAAATTCCTCAGCTTGTACTAACATTTGCAGACAAATGCCTGTGCAGATAAATCTTAGCAATGGTTTGCAAAAACAGTACAACTTTTTACCAAGAAGTAACTCATATGAGACTGTTTCTTCATCCTTACTTTCTGACAGTTGTGTCGAGGCAGACTTGATCTTGCTGTTCTGTAGGATGTTAGAATGTGAGGGCCAGGAGGGACCTTAGGGCCTATTTTATTTTTCAGAAACTTGAAATATGGGGGGATTAGGAGCTTGCTCCAGGTCGTCGAGTTTAATTAGTGACAGTGCTGGAACTAAAGTCCAGGTTTTCTGTTTTCCGTAGTTTAATGCAAAGAACAAAGAGATGGAGGAAGGCAGACTGATCCGGCCTTTGCAGGACTGGCTGGGTCGCCTTTGGGGAAGTCTCTTTACCTCTGGTTTTAGAGCCCTCGTGTGAATAATGAAGAGATTGAGTACTAGATGATCAAGTCCCCTCCAACTCAGAAATTCTGTTGTGTTTTGCGTCGTTTTGCTTTCTGTGCGTTTGTTTGTTTGTTTTGTTTTTTTACTACTTGCTTTGTGCTACAATTATTTGCTTACCATAAATGGTGTGTTGTAAGTCTGATGTAACTGATCACACGTGTGCGTTAGTCTGGCCATCTGCTTGGGCATGCTTTAAAATTTTTAATTAGAGGAAATGCTGATCTCTAGATTATTTTGTCTTGTTGATCTTGGTGAGCAGTACGTGCTTTATTTAAAATCTTCAGCTCTGATTGTCTTTCAAGTAATTCATTTCACCTTTACGTGAAAACTCTATTATTATTTTTTCCTATCCACTCTACCTTCTTTCTCTCGCTTCTGTCGGCCAGCGCCAGCCTTGTAAGAGTTCTTCCTATCAAGGGTTTTCTAATTATTCACAAATGGCTTTCCAAAGCGAGCACAAACATGTAAAGGGAATTTGAGGACAGAGGGAAATGTTTAATCTTCCATCATTTGGGGGAAGTTGGACATCAAAATGAACTTGTCTTCAGGGGTTGAGGGTGAACCCAGACCAGTCAGCAAATGAGTTCGGTTACTGCCATCAAAGGCCTTGCAACTCTTCTAGACTGGCCAATCCATCTGGGCATTACTTGACCCCTGCATGTGGCCCCATGTCCCAGAGTCTCTCTTCAAGCCGTGCTTCTGTGTCATTCCTTATATCTGAGATGCTGCCCAAAGAATTTTCTTTGCCTAATTGGGGTGGGAGGTGCATCTATTTCAATGGTAGCTCCATGACTTCCAGGTTCTCTCCTGGTACGTCCTTTTACTTTTAGCCCCAGACAGTTGCAGACTTGATGGCCAACCAGCAGCCAAAGCCAGTGACAGCTGTGGCTGCAGCTAAGCCCTCTAGATTCTGATGGATTCAGTTCCTAGGACAGAAGTGTTTTTTTGTGTGTGTGTGGTTTCAGAATAGTGGAAAAACATTGGTGGGAAAACAACAGCATGAATGCTGACAGTATAAAGTTTAAGATTACTTCTGATTTTTATTCATATAGAATCACATAAAATTTCATAATTTTGATTTAGCAAGCCACCAAAGCAAAGAATAGAACAGCATCATCATGCAGGATTTTCCCTCCTATTTAATGTACAAGTAGTAATTTGACCAGTTTTACCTTCAGCAAAACTGTTAATTAACGAACAGAAATATTCTTTACTACTGGACTTGACAAGTATTTAGAAAACATCTTAACCAAAGGGCATATTTTCAAGATCTTCTGCAAATCCACATGCCATCAGAACCTAAAAATTCCATCTGCTGAGATGGATAAGACCACGGAACAATGGAGTATCTGTGAGGACCCGCCTGCAGCCCCAGACCTAGGCAGTGGCATTTGGTGGCCCCTCCTTTGGGCGAAATTCTTTTGTTAGGAGAATAGACTTCCAAATGATAATAGTATAGCATTACTTGGGGCTTCCCTGGTGGCTCAGTGGTTGAGAGTCCGCTTGCCGATGCAGGGGACATGGGTTCGTGCCCCGGTCCAGGAAGATGCCACATGCCGCGGAGCGGCTGAGCCTGTGAGCCATGGCCGCTGAGCCTGTGCATCCGGAGCCTGTGCCCTGCAACGGGAGAGGTCACAACAGTGAGAGGCCCGCGTACCACAAAAAAAGA